TTTTTTTTTAATGCATGACTTTAGCGTTGGAAAAACAACTTATACCTAGACATATAAATTTCTTGTCAAACTATTGGTACTAGTAAACATTGCATCAATGAGTTTCAACTGATGATAAATCGATTTGGTTTTCCATTGAGTATACTCATTAGGCATTGGTGATCGTAAACGTAAAAAATCAAATGACCCAATTTCGGCTTCGCAGAGCTTCTCTCATTTTTTTCTTCTAATAACCCGAACAATGGCACGCGGATCAGGTATTGGCGGGCACATTGTGTCTCTAGCACAACGAGTGTATAGGTGATTCAAACTATTCTCGAATGGTGCCGGTTTACCGGACGGTATACATGGACGCTACGGGCTTGGGTAACCCGAGCACCCATCCGAGAGCTCGGCGATATCAGTGATATTGAAAGTGTATAGTAGCTGCAGTCGTAAACGGAAACCCTTGCTGCGTGCGTATTCCGATACCCCCGTACGTATACATTTAATCGAAATTCGATGGGAATAGTAAATTAACCGGCACAGGGAGCAGTTTGCCACCGATTTTCTACGTCGTAACTGTACGAAGCCATTGTTCTGATTTCTATGGTGACTTTGGTGTATGGATATATGATACCTGAGGTGGCTGTGACATTTTTCACGCGTCATTTATACAACTACGTGCATTTCAGGTAGTTTGTTTTGTTTTACACAGCGTTTGCTTGTTTGTACACAAACAACAGTTACCACACGTGCGAGAAAAGAGTTTCAAAGTATCGTCTGAAGGGAGTATCCGTATACATCGAGAACGGATCGCGGAGCGCACTACACTTTCTTTGCTCGAACGAGGGGAAGCACTTTTCTTGACGTTTACTGAAAGCTACTTTAACGGGTGACTACTTACCAACGGAAAATAAACGTTTTAATGCAAACTAGGGATAAAAAGATTCTATATAAACAAAGTTTTAAGTGGCTCCTTGGAGAAAAAAAAAAAAAAAAACACGGCTTATGTATTTTTTCTCCTTTTTCCCCTCCCGCCTTTGCTTGCGACTTTTTCTTCATTGAAAACTGCAAAACAAGGTTGTTTATAATTAATTTTTGAGTATCATACTGTTGTGGGATGAATGACACTGATCTCACGATGAATAATAAAATAATACAACTCGTTTTACTTTGTTGGGTACATTTTTCTCCGTACCCCTTGGAGTAAGGTAACATCAGCTAGTAATATTGATAAAGCCAAGGAGAAGCTGTCAATTGCACCAAGAGACCACTGAAAGCTTGCTGCTGGTTCTAAAAATAAAATGAAACAAGTACAAAAATACGACAGCTCGGTTATACTCGATGGAAAATTTCTCGTCTCCTAAATTATACCGTGAACGAGGGCACTGTTTTTATTCGCATAAAATGATGGACGATAACGATTTATGAGATTCATAAAAAAAAAAAAAAAAAAAAAAAAAAAAAAAAACAGCCAATCATATTTTCTGCGGTTGTATTGAAAATGCGGTGCTGATAAGAAGCTTTTATTTCGCTCAACTTTTTATGTTCAATCGTTTTGCAGCATCGTCCGGTTGAAAAACCATTGTTAGTCACGATAAGTGGTACTCAGAGCTCTTTACGTGTCTAAAAAACTTTCACTCCATCAGTCGATAGAAAATCATCGAGAGAGCCCGCCCACAAAAGATCAAATCCCGGCTCGCAAAAAGTGCATGAAGCGAGAAAGGAGAGATTCGAAGAAAAGCTAAAGTAGAAGCGAAAAAGCAAAGCTCCAACAGATATCTCGAGGGACGAGTCTCTCCTTTCCACGATATCCCTGTACATATGCCGGCAAAAAGTCAGCAGTAGCGCACACGTAAGCGTATCTCTGTTTGTCAAGGGATCATATCGTATCCCTGCTCTGGTGGGTGTCATCGATCGATGATATCAACGAGGGACGCGTACAAAACTAGGTATCCATGAGCCCTTTCTCGTCCACGATAAGGAGGTAGAAGGTATAGCCTCTTATCTGGATCTCACAAGTTTGGCCACTCGAATCGGTGTACAAGGGATAGGGTGAGGGTATTGTGTCCTGTGATCCATTAACTTCCTTTGTTTTCGGATACTTGTGAAGTTTCGTGTCAAATTATTCGGACTATTTTAGTTGAGTGTCAAAAAAAGGAGGATGAGAGAGTCTTTTTGTACTTTGTCAACTCGTAGTATCTTTCCAGTATTCAAGAGGAACGAGCAATTTTTATTTTTTGTTATACGTTAAAGTTACGGATGCCTTTGCGATTTCAAAGCATAAGTATATACGAATAAGAAATTCAACTTGTTTGTCGGCTTTGCTACCGAATGTAGCTGCACGAATTTTTATAGAGAGGGCCGAGATAGGTTGCATAACATTCTTTGTGTAAATACACGTCAAGTTTCGTCAGATTTGCAGAGTAAAAACTCACTCGATGTAGTAAAAAGACCCTTTGGTTGATGGAAAAATAATAATATATTGTGACCAGGCAAGTCGTAAAAATTCAAGTTTGTATAGTGTTTACACGTGTTTAAGCATGTCTGATCATATTTGGTCATAACCACTTCGTCGACATTTCACCTTATACGTTTTCGTAAGAATTATTTATCGAATTGTTTGTTAGGTTAGTATTGCTGATACAGAAAATAAATACAAATGTAATTTATGCAAGTTTTCACATGTATTTCCGCATGTCTGATTAAACCAGATCTATACTACTTAATATTTCTTCATTCCTTACATTGTTATTGGGCCTTCAAATTTTCATATTCATAGTTTTAAAATACTTTTAGGATTAAAAAAAAAGTTAAAAATGCAAATCCATACACTTTTACATGTATTTTATTGTGTCTGACCATATTTAGTCTGTACTACTTAGTCACCACTTCTTTTTCCATGAGTAGTTCATTCCACGCTTGCATTAGAATCATTTTTAATTGTTTTTTACGTTTTTGCTTTATAGTGAAACTAGAGATGAGAATGTAATTAAAATTTTTTTTTTTTTACATGCAATAACTACATAGCGCATTTTGCGTACATCTAAGTTTGTTACGTTTACTGAAAAATGTGACATTCGCTCTAGTATTGCTAAAGCATCTTCGAAATTTCAACAAAAACAAATAATAGAAATTCGTTCTTTTGGTTTATACAAGGAAATTTTCAAATGGACGACCAAAACAGATCTGTACTACTTAATTATACTTTCTTTTTAAATTAAAAATGATTCATCAAGTTTTCATGTTTCAGTAATTTTTATCATTTATATTAAAGTCGTTAGAAATTTAGAATAGAGCTATATTTTACACAGTACTTTTTATGTCCGACCATATTTGGTCTATACTACTTAACGACCTTTTCTCTTGACACTACCAGTCATCTGTTAAATTTATGCATTCAAGTAATATACATTATTACTATACTTGCAAAAGCGATGAAAATGCAACTAAGCATTTTTATGAGCCGTATCAGCACGGCTGACCATATCTAATCTACACTACTTAATCGCCCATTCTTCTCAAACAAGTGATCTATCAAGTTGTCACATGTGATTCATTTTTATCATTGTTTTTACATAAAAATCGTGAGAATATTTCAGGAAACAGCTACATATGTTTCAGTGTGTCCAACCCTATTCGGTCCATACTAATTGATCACCATTTCTCTCGACACTGCCAGTCATGTTTTAAATTTTTTCATTCAAGTTGTTTACGTTATTCTAGCATTATTTTATGGTCAAAAAAGATGAAAATGTAGGTTTAGATTCTTTTTCAAGCAGACAGGTTCATAGCCAGCTTTGCGTGCATATGTGTGTTAGGTGCTTCCACTTAAAAATACCTCATTTCATGCAAAATCAGATATTCCATGAGATTTCAATAGGTAATAAAAAAAAAGCAACCAATAAAAACTTGCACTCACAAATTACAGAAGGTAGTGTTATCAGGTCTGATAAAATCGGACCTATACTACTTAATCACCCTTTCCCTTTAAACTGCACTAATTCATTGAATTTTCACGATATAATTAAAAAATTTTGTAAAGTTAGAAAAGAAATGAAACTGCAACCTAAACTTTTTTACGAGTTACGTCAGCACGCCTGACCATATGTAATTTGTACTACTGAATCGCTTTCTCTCCTTACTCGAGTGATTTATTAAACTGTTTTATTAAACCAATTAATACTATGGTCCGAATATAACAGTTAATTATGATGACACAACATCGAACAACAGTGATTGCGTTACAAACGATGGACAAACGACG